CTTCAGTGGGCTGGTTTCAGTCATTATGCAAATGTACTGTTTATAAGATTGGGGAAACCTGCAGTCAGCTGAGACTGAAGAAGTCACTTGGATGAGTGACGAAACGTTTCTCCCACAAAACGCTACGTCCAGATGAACAGAATCAACTTTTGGAGATAGTGTAAAAAATATGTAGACACACCTCTGGATCATTCCTTTATTATGATTGAATAACTTGCAGGTCAGTGTTGGCTTAAGAACCAAACAAAACAACACTCCTCTGGAAACTTTTAGCCTGGAGACGTGTTGCTCAAGACCACAAATTACAGCAAAGTACTTTTGCAGAGTACTAGAAGTAATGTCAGATACATTACTGTTCAACTCTTTGAATCTTCACCCTGCCTGTCTCATAAACTGTCATGGTTTGTGCTGTGGCAGGCAGGATGAAGGACCCAAATGCAGGACTCGTACACAGAAAGCTAAACTCAAAGCAGCAGCTTTATTTGCTGGGAAAAACTCTAACACCGAATACAAGAAAACAAAACTAGAAACTGGAAATGTGAAACTCAAACTAGAAAACTAACAGAGAACTAGGAATTAGTCAGGAGCACAGAGGACACGTGCAGTACTGACAGGGTAAATGATGGTTAACGACGCAACAACGAACTAAGGAAAACACAGGGCTTAAATACACAAGGGAGTAACGAGGGAATTAGAAACAGCAGGGAAACACAGCTGGGACTAATCTAACATAACGAGACCGGGAGGAAGCAAAACTGAATACAAAGGAAAAGGAAGTATCAAAATAAAACAGGAAGACACACAGACCGAAACCCAGACTCAAGACATGCAAGCTTAACCTCTTAAGCCCCAACGCCCCCTGATACGGGGGCAAAAAGCAGGAGATCAGGTATGCTTGGGGCTTAAGAGGTTAACACAGGGACACGGGAACAGAGACTAAACACAGACTAAGATCAACACTGAGGGAGGGAGAACTGAGATCACTGAGAACGTAAGAAATAAAGATAACAAAAACCATGAATAACAATAATCAAAGAATATTAATTCAGAACCTGAAACACAAATACTGTGACATAAACTGTTGTTGGTCCCATTCAATCATACGTATAGCACCTGTCACCACCACTTTACGTTAGCTGTTATAGACTGTGAAACTCAGGAGTGTCTGAATCACAGCACACATACACTACACAACACACAGACTGACTGACAGCTCTAAATCTGCCCCAAAATGCAACATGTTTGCTCTTAGCATGATTCATATTTCTTTGCAGATATCAAGACTTTAGTTAGATTGCCTGGATAATGATAGCTTAAACATTAAACTTAAACTAAGAACCTTCATGGACATTAAAAGCATTAAAAACATAAGCAGAGTATAAGTAATTTCCACTTTATGTTGACCTGTGCTTAGTTTCTCTTGTGGTTTCTGAAAGTAAAAGAAAAAGAAAGCAAGGTTCAAGGCGGCAGCTAACATGTTTCACACTTAACGGTTTGTATTTCCTTCCATTTTTCAAATATTAAGAAAATGCTAGGTTATGTAGATATCTGCAGTGAAGTGTGAATCATGCATCAAAAGTAGTAATAAGAAGACTTAAATATAGCCCAATTTTCAACAACACTGAGGACTGAGCTACAAAAGTGCACCTGCTGTGTTCTTCTGTTTTTCTTTCTTTCTTTTTAAAAACTCTGTAGTCTCTGATATTTGTAGCTGTTTGTTTCTGTAAACATAAGAGCTGTTTGTTTGTCAAACCACTTTTATGCCTGAACTACCAAACTACATGACAAAACCAGGTAAAGAGGCGGAGCTTAGGAAGAACCAATCTGTGTGACAGAACATTGAGCATTAGCAGAAGCTCGTGATCTCAGTTTCTTCACCTGTTTAGGAAGGTTTGGTTTTGTTTGTTTTTTTCTACATGCTTATCCCACAGTGACATTTTGTCCTCTGTCCTTCCCCTTAGCCCCAACCAGTTGTGGCAGACGGCTCTTCCCCCTCCGAGCCTGGTTCTGCTCGATGTTTCTCCCTGTTAACCCCGAGTTTTTCGTTCCCACGTTCACCAAATCGCTTGCTCGTGCCTAATTTTGGGGGGTTTTCTCTGTATTATTGGAGGGTCTTAACCTCACAATATAAAGGTTGAGGTGTCAGTTACTGTGCTTTGGTGCTATATAAGTAAAACTGAACTGAATTGAAATCTCTTTTGTGAGTTGGAAGGATTAAACACAAGAGCAGATACAGGATACCTGCCTAAAATATAAAAGTACCAAGCACAGCTCACCATGCAACATAACATCAAAAACTGTATGTGTATTATAATGAAGCCTCTGGGCTGGACTGAGGGTCTTAGCAGGATGCTGGTCAGGGGGTCGCTTTAAAAACTGCAACCTCAAGACTCGCCTCGCTTCCAGCTCTTTACCAGTGTGAGGTTATGTTCCCTTCTCATTTATGTGCAGCACTATCTATCTGTTTCTTATTTGTCTTACTATTAATCATGCATGCCTTTACACACACACACACACACACA